TACTATATATATATATATATATATATATATATATATATATATATATATATATATATATATATATATATATATATATATATATATATATATATATATATATACATATATATGTATATATATATATATATGAATTTAGATATTCACGTAGTACGTAACAGCTAAGATAGTATAACCGAACAATAATAGCTTATTAAATAAAGTTAAAAAGTGGAACATTTGTTGAAGAAAAAAAAAGAAAAAAAATGTGGCAATTATTGATTTCACATAAATACAACGGTTTCTGCTTTTCCTAATCAAACGTTTTTTTTTCCTTTTTTTTAAATTGATTTATTTTTAATAAAAAAGGAATTAGGTTAAAAGACAATATTTTATGAATTAAAATTTGTAAAGAAAACATTTAAAACAATGAAACGGTGTAATTAGTATGAAGAGCAATATTCATTAATCGTAATGATTTATAAAAATGTCACATAAACCAGTAACAACAGCTGATCCAATAAACAGCATGACGAAAGTTGTCATGAAAATAATACTTTCATTTTGCATACTATAAACTTTATAATGCTTTTTATAATTATCTCATAAGCTAAAAAAAACCTTAATCCTTGAGCAAATGAAATACAATTGCAGTGATTTTTTCCTCTAAATTTCACTTAATTTTCGACAAAAATTCAACCATTTCAATATGAGTAAAAGTACCAAAACATAGCTTTCCCTAAATTAAAAGAATTAATTTTGAATGCTTTTTTTTCGATATTTAATTACTCAAAAGTATCGTTGAAATTTAAATGTTTTAAATGACAACAAATAAAGATTAGATGAGATATGTTATGTTGCTGGATAAATTTTTGTTAAAATTTAAAATTTGACTGACATAAATGAGGTATGCCTGGGAACAATTGAAAGAATAATGTAGGTAGTTAAAATTTAAAACTTACGCAATATTTTAGGATTATTTCACGAAAAAAAAGAGAGTGAACTAAAAAAGTTGTTGAAAAAAAGTAAAGTTACTATCCTCTTTTCCTGGTCATCTTTCAAATGTGGAAAATAATTCATTCAAATTTTTAGTGAATGATATGAGACATGGATTGAAATAAATTAACTTAAAAAATATATATGTATATGGATTATATAGCTGTTTGAACAATATCGCTTTATACGAGAGAAAAAAAAAGGCAAACAAAAACAAAACCAAAAAGTGATTAAAAAACATAGTAATTGAATTAAACTAACAAAAATTCGAAATTTTCAAACAAAATTCTGATTACCTTTGATATAATTTTCCTTCATTGATTTAATATATGTAAAAATATTCAATTTTAATTTCCTCAATGTCAATTTTTAAATTGTCATATAATTGTGACAAGAAAATAGTAAATGAATAAGTAAAATACATTAACATAATGGAAGAATTAAATTTAATTCAAATCACATTTATCACAAATTATCTAATTAATAATTGGGTCAAAGTTAAAATCATTCAAATTAACTAAATCAAGCAAAAGCAAAAAAAAAGATTTAATTGGTAACCTTACGAGTATCATATGAAGATCTATAATCGATACCAATTGCTATTTCATTACATTGAAATCTGATAGGTCTTGATAATTTTAAAATCAGTCCTGTTTAACGTGCAGCTGTTCAGTGTAATCGGTAAGCATGCTATGTTAGACAAGCTAAGCAGCTAGAAATACTTCTGGTGATGATTTAGCTTCAAGTTAATCAATGTTTGTTATAAACTTTTCGTTTTTCTTTCACTTTTTTTTTTTCTTCCTTGCTATCTCTTTCCCCTCTAAAAAAAAAATAAAAAAATTTTGTTTTACTATAAACTTGAATTTGATTTAACATTTACTCATAAATAACAATTCTATCTGTTTTATTTATTAACTAATTAATTAATTAATTGATTAATTAGTTAGTCTATTTATTAACAATCGATTACAATAAATAGATATTACAGAGTATGGCGATACTAGAAGATGACAAAGGTAAGATGGATGGGTAAAGATAAGATAAGATGGGTAAAGATGGGATAACGGAAAGAAAAAGATGGATGGTTTGTGTTTGCTGATTTGCACTCTCAAATATGAGTTCTGTTAAGAAGCTTATCCAAGGAATTATGAAAATATGTGGTTGAAACAAAAAGGACTAGTTTTAATTTAAAAAATCTTTTACAAATATTTTGTAAAAATATTTGTAGAGTAAGTGAAGCATTAACTGATAAATTGCTGATAAGAAAGAACATTCAATTTAGGATGAGATAATAAGAAATTTCTTTTAAATATGGATACATTGTAACTTATCATAACCCATATACCAAGGATAATGGTATTTGATAAATTTATGCACAAATTATTCTGAGGAAACTTTCATATTTAATCATTTGATAATAAAATTATGGTGGGAATTAAATATTTATATTTAGAACTGTATAATCAATTTGGAATAACTAATTTGAAATTAATTTTTTTATATTAAAATGATATTACATTATCATGCATTAGAATGATATTATGCTTAGATTTTTCCTGTGAAACGTTAACATTTGCATGATAACGTCTATTTATTTGAAAATTTGGGAAATACAGCCCGAATATTTTGTTATCATTCATTGCATTGCTTTATCAGAAAGAAATATCAAAATGCCTAGTTTCGTCTTTTTTTTTTCATAAGGAATTTATTGAAATAATTACACTGAAACGGTAATCTAAACACAAAAAAGTTGTAATTATTGCCAATTAAAAAAAGTAAAATAAACATATTGGATAACATCATATATATTTAACTGTATCAAATATATTTGATACAATTATCGATTAATATAATACAATTATCGATTAATCTTGTATATTATTTTCAAATATCAGCGATAAAATTGTTAAATGCTTTCATAATATATTGTGCAAAATTATTGTGGAATAATTTTTATTGTGAAATAAGATTGTTCTCATATGGTGATAATATACCGCTAATATTGTTTATTCTACTTATTGTAAATTTACAAGTAATCATATCAAATAAGATGAATGAGTATGTTTCATTACATTTCATGGAACAAATTAATTAATTCAGTTTTTGATAACTGATGAAATGGTGATGTATTCGATTGAAAGTGAAATGCATTGTACTGTGAACGTGAACGTCAATTCTTTTGTAACTAATAATAAAAGTTAGTATGTTTTCTTAATTTAAATTTAACAAATACAATCATAAAATACTCGTTAAAAAAAACATACTTGAAACATTTATTTTTCTATTTGCAATTCATTTTTAAATTTTTGGATCCGTTCATCTCTCGATTTACTGATTATGCAAAAATTACAAATTGGGAAATCATGAACCCGGAACAATCATCATCTAAATGATATAACGAAAATAATGAAGAATATTATTTATAAATTCTTTCACTCAAACATTGAAATACTGCTAGAGCTAATAAATGAAATTTCAAAAGATTTTAAAAGAAAAAATGTATTCCAAAAATTATTTTTTAACATAAAAATGAAAAGTGAATAACATTTAAGTGAAGATGTTCATCTTACCAAATGTCAATAAAATTATGAATAAATTTAAGGAGGAATGGCGCAATTGGAGGTAATTTTTTTAGATCCAAATTTGAAGAAATTTTTAGGATTTAAACAGAAAAATAAATAAATAAAAAAGATGTTGGAAATTAAAATGTTACACATTTATGAAAAATAGGATGAAATGAATTCATTCATGTTTCACATCATCTTCACTGTGTTGTTAAATGGTGGTACTATAAATGCGTATTGTTTGGATTTATAATTTGCTAGTTGTTGCAAATATCGACAAGATTTTCAATTTTCAAACCATATTTGAAATTTAAAAAAAAAGAAATATTTGAATGCTATTGCAAGATGACAAAATGTTATCATCTTAAATATTTAACAATATTTTTGAAGTTGTTTTTTTAATGCTTTTTAATAATTGACATTTTAACATTTTATTAGTTTTTTTTTCTTTTTAATTTTTCAACTTCAGTTTCTCCTTATATTAATTGAGATCATCAACTATATGAAAAATGATAAAATGATATGATCAAAAAAGACCCAAAGAAATAATGTTATGTTCAGTTATAAACCGAAATCAGACGATATATTTTAATATTGGTTCAATCTGATTTTGATGGTTCTATTCATTACTATAGTATCATTCTGTTAATTGATCAATTATATTTTAAAATATCTGCTCATTACTTTTAATGATCATTATACAACAAATAAATTGTAATTTTTTACAGCAATTCTTGACAAATTGATGAATTACTTAGATTGTAATGCTTTGATAATTTGACCAAAAAAATTATTCAGGTAATTTCACTAAAAATTAAAGATATGTAAAATGTAATATTGAATATATATAAAATTGAAATATATTATTGGAAAAGAATTTTGCAATCTATAAAGGCTATCAAAAAAATTTGAAATTTAAGTGTTGAAAAATTTTTTCAAACAAGAAAATTAAAGTGTTAAAGTTTTTTGCACTATTCAAAGTTAGAATTAGAAAAAGCTTTTAAATAAATCGAATTCATCGCATTATTTCGAACATTTTGTAATAGCATTTGGCATGCAAACAATTGTAAAGCGGTCAATTATCCGATTTTGTAAATAGGTTTATTGAGTAAACATTTTTTTTTTTTCTTTTTACCGCGCGCATTATCGTAATACCACTCAAAATTATTTGATACCGTAATTTTCTGCTTCATATGAAACTCCTGTGGATGACTTGGAAATTATTCGAACGGAAATTTCTGGAATTTTGACATAAACTTTCATTAAATCGTAGCATAATTCAAGGAGTTTTCTCATTGTTTAATGTAATATAATTATTGTTTGAAGTTTGCAAAGTTTTTGAAATATTTTTATTTCCATTGGTACTTTTTTCGTATTTGAATTTACATGAAATTCTGGAAAAATCTTTCTGATTTATTTGAAAATGAGGGAGCATAAGTTGATATTGTAAGTTGATTTTTTTTTTTTTGAAAGACTCGGGAATGTTGTTTTTTTTTCGAATCATGAATCAGTCATTTCATTTCTTACTACTAGTAGTGATTCATATCAAGAGGAGATTCTGAACGACCATTCGCTTGCTATATTCATGAAAATTATATCACTCCACTTTTATAAAAATAACGGAATTTCAAGTTTTTGTCTTTACCAGATTTGTTTATTTTTTAATGCAGACAAAAATCAGCAAATATTTGCAGCAAATAAATATTTGGTCTGGATGACTGGAATTCATTTTCCGGAAGGATTCATTTTCCGGTCAAAAAAAAAGAAAAAATTCATTCCCGTAATGGTTAGAGGTCCATCAAGTTGACTAATTTCAAAAGTCATGCAATGAAATGAGCAAGATTTGTCAAATTGTAATCCTTGTCGTCCAAATTACTTTAACATTTCATTGTAAAAGTATTGAAATAAAAACGTACAACTGAACTGATTGATTGAATTTATGAACAAGAATAATGCAAAAGATCTGTCTTTCTGTTTCATTTTATCGTAACGGAATGATTTGTTACGATTGACGGATATGCTCTCTAATTAACGTCGTAATGATAAGATATTGACTGGACAGTAACCATGATGAAAGAGCAAATAGACAGTTTGGATATTCAATTCTTTTGTTGTTTTCTTTTGCGTAACTATTTATCATTCACTTTGAATTATATTAGTTTTTTGGAAATTAAAACTCAAGGAACATTTACAATATTTAGAAACATCAAATATACATTAATCAGATAGTTTTTCCTCTTGAGAACATTCACTGTGACGAAGTATTTGATGAAGCAGTCAATTATCCGGTTTTATCATAATTTCTCGCTTTCATGCTAAGCTAATTTCGGTATAAGGGGAAGTGTGGATAAGAGTAATTTGGTTGGATGGGCAAATACACGAAAACCAAGCAGATTTCCCTGTTTTCTTCCTAGAGAATTGTGGCTTAGCCAATTTTCAATTTCATTTTCATTTATTTGACTTTTTTTCGAATATCAGAGAAGGATAATTGTTTACTACAGCGCAAGTAAGACAATGATTGGCAATTGGGGTCGGACGAGGTAGGGTCAAGAGGTGGACCCTGTCGTCCGCCTCGACCTCATCATACAAGTCCCACCCATTCAGTATTAAAAAAGAATTAAGTTCTTGGATCATTTGCAGTGTTCCCAAACCTGGTACGATGCGGTTACCAACACGTCACCTTTGACCTCACTTCTCTACCTTTCTCCATTATTCCCTTGCCGTCGGATAAAATGACCACTTAACTACTTCCTAACATATCTTTTTTTTTGAAATACCTCCATCCGCTTTCTATATGACATCTTTGGTGCAATTTACCCAATCGTTTCAATTATCCAATAAATTATTATATCCTCGATTCAAAATAATTCAGAGTAGGAACTTCAACTACGACAAAAATCCCTTATTTAACATTATGTCCGCCATTGTCCAGTGCAGGATGATGCCCACTACTGCTCCATGTAGTATTGACAGCATAGCATTTCAGGGAGGAGCCTAAGCCTCATTCTACCTCTCCGCACGCTGTGGTGCTAATCCTAGGATACTGGCAAGTATGAATCACCACTGCATTGTGTGTCCTTAGTCAACTGCTGACCATTCCTTGTGCTCTGGTCGGTCCATTATCGAGTTGTTCGATTTGTTGGATCGATTTCTGAAGAGCATGTATTCGTACCACTTTCCCCAGTTTCCGACAGAAATGCTATCGAATGTAGTGTGGACTGCAAATGACCTGATCTATGGGTACTCCTATCCGGTAACCTTTCAGTTCTCTCTCGCCGCGCCTTATTACTATCACTTCCCACCATCACGTAACATTTAACTGCGATCTTACCGTAACCCGATAACGCACACACGCTACGGGACCTGCGCTGCAACTGTTTATAACAATGCCAGGGATTGTGCGTTGGTCGCAGGCGAGCGTGACGCGTTGCGTTCTGAGGTAACGGATGAGGGTAGGGGATGGGGATGGAAAGACGGCTGTGGGCCAGTAGGGGGAGGGGAGGATGTGCACCATTCAGCCGAGCATTCCGTGACACAATTATGCAATGGCGGACAAATTTCCGGACGGCATTATCAGGAGAAGCAGGCTTTCATCAATTTATTTCCAGAATATTTGCACCATCGTCATCTTCCGGACCTGCAGGTCCGTACCGATTTCACAGTCCTTCTTCGTACTGCTATTACAATTCCCGGAATCCATACTGCTTCCCAGTGGAACTTTTTCTCCGACAATTAAAGGACGAACTACGACGAACAGTAGAGATGATTGAGATGGTACCATTTGGTAGCGCCATACCGAAAGCTCTGTGGGATTACTGTATTCATAGTGTGCCTGTCGGTTTGTTTTCTATTCCTGAAGTGTTTGCCGGTAAGGTTGACCGGTCAAACGAGTGCAGTAGTAAAATTAAAAGTCTTACAATTTTAGAATGAAAGTAACCAGAAGAGTTATTCCTTCCCAAACCAAAATGTAACCGAAATGTTATGTGTTTGCATGTGACACTTAGCATTCACGAAGTGTATGTAAAGATTGAAGAATTCCCGATTCCTACTTTTCGTTTCCGGAACTTGTATCCGCATGTGGTTCTCTTCTGCGGCAGAATGAAAAGGATCAAGTCCTCCGTCTCCTCTGCACGCCTAGGTTACTCTTCCCTTTTCGGGAGAAAAATTTGAGAACTGCCGGAATGCTTTTTCGGGAGTCTGGTAGTAATGAGATGCGCTAATTTGGTGGTAGATCACTTAGTGTAGTATGGAAAATGATTCCAAGGGGAAGCCACCCGTCTCTTACCGACGAGAGGAGGGAAGGTACCAAACAACGTGATAGGTAGCTTCAACAATATGATATCACCGAAAAGAAAAGCTCTAATCTAGAACTGAAATAACCTGTACAAGCTGAATTACGTGTGCGAAATGAACTCACGTATATGAATTGGATTTAAGGGTACCAATTGAAATTATACGAATTGAAGCTATATATACAAGTTGGACTTCGTATGCCAAGCTGAACTTGCTGGAACAAACTGGAATCATTTGTGTCAAAGGGATTAACGTACTCGACCTGAACTTACGTGTACCAGTTGAACTTACCTGAATTTATAAGAATGACAAAATTACAGGAGGAGGAGGGGAGGGGGGGGGGGGGGGGGAGGGAAGGAAGT